ATACATTTCTCTTTTATGCCAAAAATCATTAGGATATTAAGTAAAGATCATGTTCCATGAAGATATTTTGTACATCTCCTACCGTAAATATATCAAAACTTAATGTTTGATTAGTAATATGCATTGCTAAGAACTTCATTTGGACAACTTTAAAGATGATTTTCTCAATATTTAGATTTTTTTGCACCCTCAGATTCCAGATTTTCAAATAGTTGTATCTCAGCCAAATATTATCCGATCCTAACAAACCATACATCAATGGAAAATTGATGTATAGATCTCAATTTAAAAAAATTGACCCTTATGACTGGTTTTGTGGTCCAAGGTAGTGCTGGGTGGTATACCGGTTCATACCGAATACCGGTGTTTATTTTTGTTATGATATGAATTTTTGTCGCTTAAACAAGGTTGGGAACGCAACACTGTTTGAAAGGGGTCTCTTTTCACTGCTGCACTGTGGTGAGGGAACAGCTGTATGTGTTACTAAGCGTGAAAGCTCCGAAACTGAAGCTGTAGAACTAACAGAACGTGATGACACAGAAGAACTCATCCACAATATCCACAAATATCCAGCGCCCGCTGCCATCAGCTCCCGCGTCTCACACACACACGAGCGCGACTTTAGCACTAGATTTAGCAACTTTCAGACCCTTTTAGTGGCTTTTTTCCATAGAATATTCATACTGACAAACCTAGAGACTTTTCTGGATAAAGCTTAGCTATGGTTCAGCCCAGCGAGCAATACGACGACTAACCTCAAATTATCCATCTGCACCGGAGCTCCTCCACGTCTGATGCAGCCCACCAGTTTCTGGTGCCAATACATGCTGATGAACATAGTGGAGAAGATGCTGCTGGTCTCCGAGATTTCGTGGGAAAACTTAGTCACGCCGCAGTACTCTTTACTCGTGAGCCAGGATTTGGCAACGTGCGCCATGGTTTCCGGCAGATCCACCAGACAGTTTGTGATCAGATTGGACACGGCCAGGTTAACGAAGAGGACATCGCTGGTCCGAAGCGGAGATCCAGATCTGGGCAGAGAGCGCAAACCCAGCCAACCGTTCCCTATGATACCGGTGAAGCAGAAGAAAGCTCTCATTGATAATTCGATCCAGTCTAGAGCCTCCATCTCAGAGATGTGTTCTTCTTGATTTATCTGTACAGAGGTCAGTAATACATTTAGTTGGTTCGCGGCTAAATTTATAAGCTGTGATTGGCTGACATCACCCAGAACTTGATGACGTCATCAAGAACATGTTATCAGAGTTGTCCTGGATGCATAATTGCAGTACATGTGTAATTAACATAGTTATGCAACAATGCAATATTCCATGGGTGCATCAAACTATAATCAAACACACACACACACACTGCAAAAAGTGGTAACCTGTTGTTACTCCGAAGAGCTTTGTCTACATGATATAATGGTCTAAACGTAATTAGGTTGATTCAGTAATATGAAATAATTTTTTTGACTCGAATAAAACCAGTTAATTTAGATGTTACCATTTTTTTCCAGTGTGTGGAAAAAAAAATGATATATATATATACACACACACACATTTGTTTAATTATTACTAAATGTTTTATGCATGAATTTTTCAAAAATAATTTTTTTTTTTTTTTTTTTCAATAAAGGTCATGCTACCCTTTGTTACTTCATAGGTTTATGTGACTATTATTCTTTCCTTTTCTTTTTTTGAAAATTTCATATTAATAATTTATATAAGTGTAGTGTAAAGCCTGATTGTATTAATCTGTTCTTTTTGGTTGTTATTTTGTAATTAGTATTGGTTTATAAGAACTTTTAAGTGATACTGAAATGTAGGTGTTTTCTTTTCTTTTTTAATTTTTGATATGAATATCAACATCTTCAGCTTCCACTATTTCAGTGCAATGAATATGTGCATTTATGCATGTTGAAGATGCTTTTATCCAAAGCAATTAATCTCAGAGCCAACAATACTGAACTGAATGAATGATTTAAAAGTATGCACATTCCTACCTTATTTGTAAATGAAATTCATCTCCAATCTTTCTTATAGTTTCAGATTTATCCATAGTTATTCGAATGCTAGAAATCAGCTGCTTTTCCAAGTAAAACCCGCCAAATAACGTAATTATGATACATAATATTCAGAGGGTGGGGAGATGGGGGATTCCCCCGCTCTATATGACTCTGCATCGACTGAATTATTTTTTTAAAATTCATTTATTTTTATTCCCAGTGAATAGGAGTTCAAACTCCCACCCGGGTATGGAGGACCAAACCTGCAAAAACAATAAATAAATACGCAAATAAATAGATGTGTGCATAATTACACGTATTCTTATTTAAATACATATAGAAATAATTAAACACGTGACTAAAGTAGACAAATAAATCATATAAATTGGTGGGCAAATGGAAAATGTTTAAAGAAATGCTAAACTCATCCCATTTATTTTCCTTTGATCACTCGTTTATTTCTGAATGTAGTTCCACATTTATTTCTCCTCTGCACAACATGCTAATGAGAGGGTGTTAATTATGCAAGAGGCAGATCGTGTGTGACGCGCTTGAACGTTTGCATGCGTATTAACTTCATCAGTCAAGGTGACTGATTATTATCTTACACTTTTTCGTAGGGTTAGTTTTGTAGTTATAATCATGAGAGAGCTAAATCATAAAAGATTTTAAGTGGCCAGCGTAAAATATGAACGCTTACATAGCTCTTAATTGCAATACTGAACCGTTATTTGCTTAATAAACATATTTACATTTTCTGTTCTGATAACTAATGGGAAAAATGGGTTTGTTCCTCAATTAAACCACTTCATACCAGTTCTCAAGGATGTATATGAGCCTCTGTTTGTACAATAATACATTGAGAATCAACTGAGATGTACCCTTGTGTTGTGCATGTCACTAATTTGGTTCTCCGGCCGTAAAGAGAGAGAGATTTCTGCAGATCGACTTGGTTGTAGAAGACTGTTTACTGAGCATAAAAATGATCTTACACATACCTAAACAACGAGCAGGTAAAACCATCCTATAGAACGCTAGCTGCCATCAAAACAATGAGCCCTTATTCCACGGATAAAGTGAATAATCTCACGATGACCACGGGATACTGATATTACAGCTGTCTCTAGCTGGAGACTCAATCGGGTTATAAAAAATGACGTCAGGAAACGACACCTCTGGCCATTTCGGTGGGTTTGTAATATCATCAATACATCGGGTTATAAAAAATGACGTCAGGAAACGACACCTCTGGCCATTTCTTTGGGTCGTTTGTAAAGTCACAGATACTGTACGGACAATACAGCTCAGTTTTTTATGCATCTTGCTCTGCTGAACGGAAAAAGTGACTTTAGGCCATACTGGATTAACAGCATTGCTATCACAAGCCCCGACCAAGTCCATAATCGACACCCTCTCGTTAGCATGTTGCACAGAGCAGAAATAAATGCAGAACTACATTCAGAAATAAACGAGTGATCAAAGGAAAATAAATAGGATGAGTTTAGCTTTTCCATTTGCCCACCAATTTATATTATTTATTTGCCTACTTTAGTCACATGTTTAATTATATATTTATGTATTTAAACAAGAATACGTGTATTTATGCACACATTTATTTATTTATTTGCATATTTATTTCTTTATTGTTTTTGCAGGTTTCATCCTCCATACCCGGGTGACACTACTCCAATAACAAACCATGCAAAATATCATAATAATAATAATAAAATATTGCCAAGTGACGTTGCAAACAATAAAATCAGAAAAGGACTTTAATTGTAAGCGACACAAGTATACGACAAACAAAGGAATTGCTTCCTACTTTTTCCTGATGTTTGTTATTATTGAACTAAAAATGCATATAGCTATTTTTATAAACCTTTTTTTTTATTTGTTTATTTATTTACCACTTATGCATGTTGACAATTGTCTATGACCAGATATGTTTTTAGTGGACAAAATCAGCTTAACTTGAAAAAGCATGAAAATATTTTTTATTTGATTTAGTGATTTAGTCGAGTTAGTTTGGCATCAAACACGATGTGACTTTCGGCAGATCTGGCAGCAACAGAAGAGACAACAGCAGATGCACTTTTTCACTGGAGGAATGTTATTATGGATCATGGACTCGTATTTTTTGTTAAAAGCGTCTTAATGCTGGATGTGTTTCAGCTTTTGTCTTCTCCAGATGTTAACTGATGGACTGGAGTGCTGTGGATTATTGTGATGTTTTTATCAGCTGTTTGGACTCTCATTCTGACGGCACCCATTCACTGCAGAGCATCCATTGCTGAGACACTGATGCAGTGCTACATTTCTACAAACCTGATGAAGATCAAACTCATCTACATTTAGGATAGTTTGAGGAAGAGTACATTTTCAGCCAAATTAAATTTTTGGTTGAACTATTCTTTTAATGTCGCAAAGTTCATTCGTTAGAAGTTGAACTCAGTTCAACTATAAAGCAGCACTACAGAGGAAAATACGTCAGTTCAGTGTTGATTCAGTGCAATAATAGTGCAGAGTTCATCAAATTATGCAGCAAGCTTATTAGGCTCAATTTATCTCCAGTTTTAACATCTAGGACATCTAACATCAACATTATCAGGGCAGCCGATGGCCGATATATGATGCCGATTTTCTTTCCCCTTTATCTTATAAAAATTAGTTTGAATAAATGATTATTGCAGGGTACAAGATAGTAATAGTATTAGTAGCCTAATTCAGAGTAATAATACATGGCTCAAAACTTAAGCACCTTCTCAAAACAGTTCTGAAGCATGCTTTTTGTTCATGTTTGCTGACAGACACCAGTGTTTCCCACAGACTTGCAAATGCAGATTAATCTCTGCCAGCAGGAGGCGCTGTTGGAGTGGGAGATATAGCGGTTTCCCCGGCTGTAAACAAATAAGCACTGCGCTCACAAACGCTACTTTATCAGGCATCACAGGAAAGACGAAATGAAAATGACACCGAAGCTTTTCTGAAGACAATGTGTCTGAGCGCATTTGTCTTCATTGCTGAAGCGCAGCTCATCGTCACCTTTCTGAAGATCCAGTGGGACTCGACGTGGGACAACAAACTCAGGTCAGATGATGCTAAATGTGCTTTTATTTATTATAATATACAGCTCTTTTGAACCTATGTTCATTTAAAAGCATTGTTTTGGTAATTGTGCTTATTATTAAGGATAAATGTAATTATTTATTGAACATTGGTCTCATATTATATTGCTTTTGGTACAATTTTGTAAAATTAAAAAGCCACTTGGTAAAATGAAATTTTTTTTTTTTAAATAAATAAATAAAATGTATGCCTTTATGTTAAAGTGTTACGTTTGCACAATATAAAATGATAAAATATGTAAATAAAATAAAAAATAACATAAAAATACAGTGCATATATGTTAAAGTGTTACGTTTGCACAATATAAAATTATAAAATATGTAAATCAAATAAAAAATAACATGAATATAGAGTGCAGGAAGATGCGGAAATACGGTAAGGCTCGATCGAAACAACAATTTATTTTTATCAAGTTAAGAATAAAAAATACATTAACATACAGAAATGTATACATCAAACTTATGAAAATAGTATTATCATAAAAACAACCAATATATAAAAAAATGCATATATACCGGAAATAATCACAATGTTGTACATGAATAAATGAACAAATAATAAATGAGCAACAGTTACAAAGCAACAATGAAATGATCTTTTACAATATATTTAAAGAAGAAAATCTTTTTGCTACAAGGGATACGCCATTCCATTTAAATATTACATTTATGCATTTTAAGTTTTGCACAATATCATATACAAAAATATCAAATTAAATAAAATGCATAAACTAAAATAAAGTTAAAGGTGATATACAGTGCAGGAAGAGGTGGAAAACATGTAAGGGCTTATTTCTTACATTTTATAATTGTTCATTTAATTAGAATAATCAGACACTTTTAACCAAATCAACTTGCGTTGCATTCAAGCTATTTAATCAATATTTTTACATACGTAAATTTTTTCTTTTATTCTTTCAACATATCTTTCAGGTTTTATAAACTGTTTATAAATAACAATTCATGTTAAGAAAAATATAAATTTTGCTTGTAAATGTCAATACATTTTTCTTATTCAATTTTTAATAAAAAAAATTATTTAATTTTTATAATTTTAATACTTATACATAATGTATAAAAGTTTATATGTACCTTTTTATAATACAAATATTAACACATTTAATAAATATTTTAAACATAAAAAAATTCCAAATAATTAACATTTTCTTTTGTCTAAAATAATCTTAAATGAAAACAAAAATTATTTTTCTTTATATTTATATATATATATATATATAGCTTGCACAAATAATGACCTTTTTTATTAAATAAATATTTCTTCTTTTATTCAACATTTTTACATCTCTGTTCATCTTTTTCTTCCTTTTCCTTGGTCATTGTTCAATGTAAGTACATGAATAGTGAGACGTCTTTACCTTATAATCACATCACTGCAGGCATCATAATGTGCAACACTATAAAAATATGAATGCAAGCTTTATATCAGATGCATGCTGTCATGCATGAACAAAGATTTTATATTTCAAGTGTTCTGACTGTATTCATCGATTTGATCCGTAGACCTCCAGTGCCTTTGCAGACGCAGGACGGTGGCATCTCCAGCTCCAGCGTGTCGCTCCGTGACCCCATGAGACAGCGCTACTCCGTCACGTGGCATCCTCGCCAGCCGCTCCTCATCGTGTCTGACGGCTACATGGTGACTGTGCTCAGGATGAGCGAGCGGCCGTCTGCTGCCGCCGTGATGAGCGCCGCCCTGCTGGACGCTGCGCAGGGACTGGAGCACATACGCAGGGTCCTGGGCTCGTCTCAGGTCAGCCCAGGGGATGTTCGTTACTGCTAGGGCTGGGCGATATGGCAAAAAATTTAAATCTCGATTGCCCGATTTTGACTTTTTACGATTTTTAACTAGTCAACTTGAAAATGTAACTACAACATGATTCAAGTAACTTTTTCTTTATTAACCCTCTAGGTAAAAAAATTATATTCCAAGTGCAGCACACGCGAAGTTGTCAACATGATGTAAATGTTAATCAAATCACTTGTTAAATATCTTTGCAGAAAAGACGCATGAACTACAACTACATCTTGTACAAACTTGCCTTATACATATTATATGTGACCCTGGACCACAAAACCAGTCATAAGGGTCAATTTTGTGAAATTTAGATTTATACATCAGCTGAAAGCTGAATAATAAGCTCTCCATTGATGTATGGTTTGTGAGGATCGGACAATATTTAATGAACTACAACTACATCTTGTACAAACTTGCCGTATACATATTATATGTGACCCTGGACCACAAAACCAGTCATAAGGGTCAATTTTGTGAAATTTAGATTTATACATCAGCTGAAAGCTGAATAATAAGCTCTGCATTGATGTATGGTTTGTTAGGATAGGACAATATTTGGCTGAGATACAACTATTTGAAAATCTGGAATCTGAGGGTGCAAAAAAATCTAAATATTGAGAAAATCATCTTTAAAGTTGTCCAAATGAAGTTCTTAGGTTGTTCAGATGAAGTTCTTAGCAATGCATATTACTAATCAAAAATAAAAAAGTTTTGATATATTTACGGTAGGAAATGTACAAAATATCTCCATGGAACATGATCTTTACTTAAAGGGTTAGTTCACCCAAAAATGATTAACTGTTAACAAACGTTGGTTTTCACGAGACTCACCGGCGCACGCTCAGCCGGAGCCGTGTGAGATGCTTTTTTTTTATGCATGGGTGCTTTTTATTTCACTTCTTTTGGACTGATGCATGCAACACCTGCTGAGTGGCATTAAACAGCTTGAAAGATCAAAGACAATTTTTAATATAACTCCGTCTGGATTCGTCTGAAAGAAGAAAGTCATATACACCTAGGATGCCTCGGGGGTGAGTAAAACGCAGCCTAATTTTCATTTTTGGGTGAACTAACCATTTAATATCATAATGATTTTTGGCATAAAAGAAAAATCAATAATTTTGACCTATACAATGTATTGTTGGCTATTGCTACAAATATAACTGTGCTACTTAAGACTGATTTTGTGCTCCAGGGTCACATATATTCAGAAATAATACAAGGAAGATGCTTTAAAAAAAAAAATCTCAAAAGTCAAGGTAATTCAAGATGACTGAAGGTATAACACAATGTTCTGTAAAAACAAAGAACAGCAGCTTTCAGTCTGTCACTGTGATGCAAACATTAAATATCAGACATACAGTAGTAGTTCTTTACAGGTTTTTAATTCGATTGTGCTGTTTTTTCATTGTTTTTCTGTGAAACATGGACGTGTTTGACTCTTGCGCTCGCGTGTCTTGCATGAAACGGCTTTCTAACAACACGGCGCTCACGTTAAAAGAAGTTCACTCCCATCTTCTTGCATGTTTTCCTCTTCCACTGCCGCGTCGCATCTTTATTAATACAAAAGCATGTTCTGTGTGATATGAGCGCGTCACACATGAGCGGTTAATCACGTGCGCCGACGTGCGGCTGGATCGTTCTTTTCTCTTTACTGTAATCACCGGCATATTGTCAAAGTGTCTAATTATAACGTTTGGTAATATTTCTATTCAAAATCACGATTCCTTGATTTCTAAAAAATACAATCGTGGCAAAACATGAAATTCGAATTAATCGATAAAATCTGAAAAATCGGCCAGCCCACTAGTTCCTCTTTGTGTTGTGTTTTATTGCTGTAATGATGGGTGACCGGTTTCTTCTGTGTTTCAGCCTCAGTTCAGGTCCAGGCTTGAGTCCATGCCCACTCTGACGTTCACAGGAAGTCTTCAGCCTCTTAAAGAGAAAGAAACGCCGCTGTCTGCTCTACCTCTGTACCTGCAGGATACAGCAGACCTCACACAATATACTGAGAGAACGCAGGTCAGCCAATGTGACAGCAAAAAAATGCCAAAAAACACATTATGGTTAAAAAGACAACATGCCAGGCTATATTTGATAATATCATAAATATTTATTTTTGATTAAAATATTTTTATTTTATTTTAATAATTGTATTAGATACAAAGTTTGTAATTAATTTAACATAAATTAAATACAATTTATTTTTCAGTGATTACACTTTTTTTATGTAGCATTGTTCTTTTCCTAATCTTTAAATCAACACTCTTACATCTGTATTCATTTTTTCCTCCTCCAACACATTTTTCAGATTTTTTGATATCTTTTAACTGTTTATAAATAACAATTCAATTGTTTTTAATTTAATTTGTTAATTAAATGTTTTTAATTAATTTGTTTAAAAATCTATTAAATTAAATTAAAAAAAATTTTTTTTTTACACATTTATTAAAAATAACTTACAAATAATTACACATTAAAATAAACATTTTATAATTAAAAGTAATTTTTTAATATTTTAATATTTAAATACTTTTTATAATGTTTTAGTGATTAAATGCATATGTATATATTTGTTTAAAAAAAATAAAATAAAATTTTTACTTTTATAATTTTATATAATCTAAATATAAAATGCTTTTTGTGACAGACAAAATAGCATTGTTATACTTTTTACTGCATATACATTTTTTTTTTTTACAAATACACTGTTTTTGCAATAACACAATAGCATAAATAATTTTTAATTAAATTAAATTTTTATTTTACTTTATAATTGTAATAATTACACAAAGTTTATAATTAATGTTAATGTTTTGCTTTTATATTTTTTGAAGAACTATTTTATATTGACATTTAATAAAATTATTTAAAATACCTTTTACAAATAATTGTAACAAATAAAAACAGTTTTTTATTTAAATGTTGTAGTGATTAAATATACATTTAAATATATATAGAGATTTAATATCTATCTTTTCTTTACACACACACAAATATATATAAATGTATTTATTTATGTATAATACATTATATATACATTACTCCATGGTCTGTCTGAATATTGGCTGGCAGGTATGCAGTAAAACCGTTTAATGCACAGGTAGTCTCTGTACCTGCAGGATACAGCAGACCTCACACAATATACTGAGAGAACGCAGGTCAGACAATGTGACGGCAAAAAAATGCCAAAAAACACATTATGGTTAAACCGACAACATGCCAGGCTATATCTTTTATAATATCATAAATATTTCTTTTTAGTTTAAAATATTTTTATTTTATTTTTATAATTGTATTAGTTATACAAAGTTTATAATTAATTTAACATAAATGAAATACAATTTATTTTTCAATGATTGCACTTTTTTTATGTAGCATTGTTCTTTTCCTAATCTTTTAATCAACATTCTTACATCTGTACTCATTTTTTCCTCTTCCAACACATTTTTGGATTTTTTGATATTTTTTACCTGTTTATAAATAGCAATTCAATTGTTTTTAATTTAATTTGTTAATTAAACCTTTTTAAGTTGTTTAAAAATCTATTTAATGAATTAAAAATTAAATTATATTGAATTTTACTAGTATTAAAAAATAAATATTTGCACATTTAGTAAAAAAAATTAAATTAACTTTTACAAATAATTACACGTTAAAATAAAATTACTTGTAAATTTTATATTTAAAAGTAATTTTTTTATATTTTTATATTTAAATACTTTTTATAATGTTTTAGTGATTAAATGTATATGTAGATATTTGTTTTAAAAAGTTTCACTTTTCACTATTTTATAAATATTGACACATTTAATACAATTATTTAAAATAACTTTTACAAATAATTGTAACAAATAAAAACAGGTTTTTATTTAAATGTTGTAGTGATTAAATATACATTTAAATATATATAGAGATTTAATATCTATCTTTTATTTACACACACACACACACACACACACATACACACAAACATATATACATTTATTTATTTATGTATAATACATTATATATACATTATTCCATGGTCTGTCTGAATACTGAATTCTGATTGGCTGGCAGGTATGCAGTAAAACCGTTTAATTCACAGGTAGTTTTAAGTCAGTTTAATCACCGTTCCATATTAATGCACTGCTTTAATTGATGCACACAAACCAATACCCCACCGTGATGCGCTTTCATGACAGCACACTAAAACACGAACAAGGACAGAATTTACTATAGATTTCTATAAAGTTCTCATAATAATGCTATGTTTATAGCAGATTTGTGTTATATTTTCATAGAGGTTGGAGATCACCGATTTCTTAAAAAATCGTGTTTTTTAAGAAAACAAGCAGTTAGTAAATTAATAGAGTGCAAGTCGAAGAGCAGGAGCGCGTGGGTCACTCACGCCCTTCACACCCTCGGGACGCTGCTGTCCTTTCTCCCGTGGGACGCCGAGCGCACCGCAGGCCGCGGCTGTCTGGGCATCACTGTAGAGCTCACTAGATGTTTCGTCGACATGTTTCTCCCGCTTTCCTCCTCCGATTTAACACTTTCCTCCCAGAACTTCAGCGCAGCGCTCGTCGTCCTTCGGCGAGCGTCTCAGAGTGTGGATCGGACCTACAGCCTCCCGCCGAGAGCAGTGCATCATGGGAAGGATGGCCAGCTGACATATTCCTCTGATATGTTTTCTGTCCCAATGTTACAAGACGACGTTGATGCTGATGCCGAGACAGGAGCACAAACAGCACCTTCTAACAGGTCAATTTTAGTGTACTTGAGTAGTAAGATTTTCCTAACTAGTGCTTTTTTTCAGTCATCACTAGTTCTGCTCACAGTGATGTGATCAAATTATTAAACTGCAGCATTAATGATTGCTTGGATATCATGTAATAGGAACCACCCAGCAACACCCTAGCAACTTCATAGCAACATACTAAAACAACTCAGAGCATCTTAGCAACCACACAGCAACACCCTAGCAACTTCATAGCAACATACTAAAACAACTCAGAGCATCTTAGCAACACCCTAGCAACTTTATAGCAACATACTAAAACAACTCAGAGCATCTTAGCAACCACACTGCAACACCCTAGCAACTTCATAGCAACATGCTAAAACAACTCAGAGCATCTTAGCAACTTCATAGCAACATTCTAAAACAACTCAGAGCATCTTAGCAACACCCTAGCAACTTTATAGCAACATACTAAAACAACTCAGAGCATCTTAGCAACACCCTAGCAACTTCATAGCAACATTCTAAAACAACTCAGAGCATCTTAGCAACACCCTAGCAACTTCATAGCAACATTCTAAAACAACTCAGAGCATCTTAGCAACACCCTAGCAACTTCATAGCAACATTCTAAAACAACTCAGAGCATCTTAGCAACACCCTAGCAACTTCATAGCAACATTCTAAAACAACTCAGAGCATCTTAGCAACACCCTAGCAACTTCATAGCAACATTCTAAAACAACTCAGAGCATCTTAGCAACACCCTAGCAACTTCATAGCAACATTCTAAAACAACTCAGAGCATCTTAGCAACACCCTAGCAACTTCATAGCAACATTCTAAAACAACTCAGAGCATCTTAGCAGAGCTCCCACCGTGATGCGCTTTCATGACAGCACACTAAAACACAGAAAAGAACAGAATTTACTATAGATTTATATAAAGTTCTCATTATAATGCTATGTTTATAGCAGATTTGTTTTATATTTTCATAGGGGTTGGAGATCGCAGATTGCGCTGTGCACAATATTATATTAATTTAATATTTCTATAATATATTATATAATATTATAATAAAAAGTATATAATATTATATATATTCCTCCGCAACGAAGTGGTAAAATCACTGTTTTTGAAGTAAGTAATTGTTTGTAGAGAGAGACGCGCAAACGCAGGTAACACACACACAACTGTCATCTCTCTCTCTCTTTCTCTCTCTCTTTCTCTCTCTCTCTCTCGATCGATAATTAATTGAAATAAATGCTATAATTCATTGAAATAAGTGTGATCGTACCGCACTATTTCATCTCTGTGTCTGATTTGACGCGGGCAGAATGCTAGAGCTAACAAACCGTAACTGATGAAAATAACCGTAATTTTTACACTTCCGGTCAAATATTGCGCTGCAAAGAGCAATACTAGTTTTAACTTGTCTATAACTTGGCAAATGACCATGGAATAAGCGGGATAATCAACGGCTAGCCGTGCATTAAAGTATTTTAAATGCACTTCTCGGAGGCAACCACGTCTTCTTTGCCATTCAATCTTTTAATGCACGGCAAGCCGTTGATTATCCCTAGCAAGGTTTAAAAAAAATCATATAATAAATAAAAAGAAACCAGCTAGAATAGAGCAAGCTAGTGTTAGAGGCCTTTTTTTGCTTTTGTTAATTGTATAATAAATAAAAAGAAAACAAACAAATAGAATACAAAAATATTAGAGAAGCTAGTGTTATTTTTTATTTTTTAAAGTGCAAGTCTAAAAGGGGTGATTTTTTTTTTTTTTTTAAGAATTGATTTAGAATAGAGAATGACCTTTTTGTAAAATAAATGGTGTCTCTTTAGGATGAGGAAGACCATGATTCTGATGAAGGTCCGTATACGTGCTCACACACAGAAGACGGAGGCAAGCTGGAGTTTGCGTCTATGTTTGACACGCTTCACGCTCAGACACAGTCACACCCAGAGCCGGCGTCCTCGGGTCTGCAGGAGGATCTGGACAGGGTTCACAGGAGCCTCACGAGAGCCTGGGCTCTGGGCGTTTCTCTGGGCGGCTCCGTCCAGCAGAGAGAGCGTCTCCTCAGGTACACCGGGCTCTGTGTCTCTCGCCTCGTGAACCTCCTGCGGGTCAGAGACTCCGCCGGCAGGAAGAGCAGGAGCGCGTGGGTCACTCACGCCCTTCACACCCTCGGGACGCTGCTGTCCTTTCTCCCGTGGGACGCCGAGCGCACCGCAGGCCGCGGCTGTCTGGGCATCACTGTAGAGCTCACTAGATGTTTCGTCGACATGTTTCTCCCGCTTTCCTCCTCCGATTTAACACTTTCCTCCCAGAACTTCAGCGCAGCGCTCGTCGTCCTTCGGCGAGCGTCTCAGAGTGTGGATCGGACCTACAGCCTCCCGCCGAGAGCAGTGCATCATGGGGAGCTGACATATTCCTCTGACATGTTTTCTGCCCCAATGTTACAAAACAACGTTGATGCTGATGCCGAGACAGGAGCACAAACAGCACCTTCTAACAGGTACATTTGTGTGTACTTGAGTAGTAAGATTTTCCTAACTAGTGTTTTTTTTCAGTCATCACTAGTTCTGCTCACAGTGATGTGATCAAATCCCTGATACAAAGTATTAAACTGCAGCATAAATGAATCCTCGGATATCATATAATAGGAACCACACAGCAACACCCTAGCAACTTCATAGCAACATACTAAAACAATTCAGAGCATCTTAGCTACCACACAGCAGCACCCTAGCAACTTCATAGCAACATACTAAAACAACTCGGAGCATCTTAGCAACCACACAGCAGCACCCGAGCAACTTCATAGCAACATACTAAAACAACTCGGAGCATCTTAGCAACCACACAGCAGCACCCGAGCAACTTCATAGCAACATACTAAAACAACTCGGAGCATCTTAGCAACCACACAGCAACACCCTAGCAACCAACCACATCACACTTGCATCATGGCAAGCACCACTCACAAAATTATTAGTTAATAATGTATTATTTTAATTAATTCATTTTTTTTTGTTTTAATTAGTTTATTTGCTCTGAATTGAATTAATATTTAATTCATTTTAAATATTGTATCTATTTCCATTAATTAATTAGTATTTAATATTGTATTTGCATTTATTTATTTAAATGTATTTCCATTTAGTTGTTTTGAGTAAATAATTGTTTTATTTATTTTAATTAATTAATTAATTTAAATGTATTATTTAATCTTTTATTATTTTATTTATTCCCATTTATTTATTATTTTAATTACATTAAAAATAAATTTAAAGTTTTATTATTCATTTCCAGTATAATTATTAAAATATATATTTTAATAATTAAATAATTCTTAAAATGTGTTTTCCGTTATTTCCATTTATTTATTTTAATTTATTTATGTATTTTAAATGTGAGCGAGCACTTTCTGCATGGCCTGACTCTTGTGTTTTTCAGATTGGTGGGTATCTGGCGTGAGGTGTACGAAAGGGCTGTGCGGTACCGGGAGGAATTACGTCACCGCAGAGGCGTAAAAAACGAGCTCGAGAAGATGTCAGTAATTATGCCTCAAATCCAGCAAGCTTTACAGTCAGCTGGAGCCCGTCTTGAGGAGAGCCACACTCTGCGTAGTTTCAGCGGTGAGCATGAGCAACCAAAACAGAAGCATCTTTTATTACCATGATGTTATAATAATGTGTTGCTGTTGTTGTCCATCCGCAGGTGAACAGCACTTTATTTTTGGAGAATATACGGAGAGCGTTCAGGTTTGGAGGACTCAGCTAAGGGCAGAGAGACAGAGAGGTCAGTCTGTTTTCAGTCAAACGCTGCTGTTAATGTCAGGCGTCACTCACTTTATCCGTCCTGCGCCTCACAGCCGGTCCCATGACGTGTTACCTGGAGACCCGCTGCTGTCTGGCTCTTCTCTACACGCTGCTCTTCCAGTATCGCCTGCGAGACGCTCAAGGTCTGTGTGACCGTCTGGCACGCCAGTTACAGACGCAAGCAGGACGACGGGAAGAGGAGACGCAAGGAGAGGCTGGTAGGAAGTAGATTATTACTTCAGTTAACTGGCCAAGTGGACACAATTTCAAAATGGACAAATATTAGTCAGATTAACCCTATAAAAGCTAAATTTATGATTTCGTTTTAGTCATAGTCTTTGGACCAAAATGCCATTTAGTATGTCACATTTTAGTCATCTGAACTGTTTTAGTCCTAGTCGACTGAATATCACAAGACTTTTGTAGATTTAAAAGGTTTAAAATGTCCAAACTCATTATGTATTCCCGGAGAAAACACTGGTAATATCAACGATTTGAACAATATAGACACAGATTAGCTGCTTTGACACATAACTCAAAATTAAATAAAACCACTTCTCTTAAAGAAACAAGAACATGGTCCTCTTTTGAAATACCAATGATTATTTGTGTCCCTGCAGCACAAAAGCAGTGTTAAGTCGCTGGGGGATATTTGTAGCAATATCCAACAATACATTGTATGGGTCACAATTATACATTTCTCTTTTATGCCAAAAATCATTAGGATATTAAGTAAAGATCATGTTCCTTGAAGATATTTAGTAAATCTCCTACCGTAAATATATCAAAACTTAATGTTTGATTAGTAATATGCATTGCTAAGAACTTCATTTGAACAACTTTAAAGATGATTTTCTCAATATTTAGATTTTTTTGCACCCTCAGATTCCAGATTTTCAAATAGTTGTATCTCAGCCAAATATTGT